CTAATGGCGCATTTCCACTACAGCGCGGAACGCGGTTTAAGTGTGCCGTGCCGTGCACGGACCGTTTTTGGTTGTGTTTCCACTTGGCGTAGTTCCAGCTAGCGGGTACTTTTTCACAGTTTTTCTGGCTCTCCAAAATCGAGGTTCTTTCCGGGCCAACAACCTGGCTGAGTACAACAAAATGAACATATTTTACAGTGATGTAATTGTAATACACGTTTCCAAATGATGCCGGAGTAACAACATACTGATACCGGTTAGTAAAAACCATGAATTAATGCTTTGACAAGTCTGCAGACAGACGGCTGGCGAAAAACCTTTTAAAATGCGTGTTTTCTGAATGGAGATTGTCAAAGGCTAACGTTGTATATGCTCCGACCGTCCACACTCACAACAACGGCCTACAGACAGTCTGTGGTTTGTACTTGTTTAACTTTTGTCTAGTTTCTGAACAGATATGAGGAGCTGTGAGCTTGAGTGCTAACAGCTAACGGCTGATGTTGGTTTTGTGTTTCGCATTGAAGATAACGTCACGGCTCCGCCTACACTGCGTAACTATAGATACTACCCCAGTTCCTAAACTGTAATGGAAACGCAGCATAAAGTGAGCCTGGCCTAACAAGGCCTAACGAGGCCTAGCCATACCGTACTAAGCCGAGCGAGGCCCTGCAGTGGAAAAGCGCCATAAGCTAGCTACTGGGGATTGTAGAAACGGTATACATTGAACATCTCTTCTTTAAAAAAAGAAAAATATTGCTATCCCCATCCAATCTCCTTATATTCTTTGAGTTTCAGCTGGTTATAGAGAGGATTGAAATATAGCTGTTTTTTTTTTGTATTTTCCCCATTGTACAGACCAATTTATTTGAAAGATATTCCCAATGTTGCTCAACAGAAACCGTTTAGACTACTGAAGAACGTACAGGATTACATAATAGCCTGCAAATATCTTTGTTGTATTTTCGTCTTTTTCCATTATCTGGAGTTACAGAGAGGGGGGAACTTACTAAATCTACTCAATTACGTAGCGTTCCCTTCACAAAAATGAATAGGAGTTTTCCATTGGATTTTGAGATATCACAGTAAATACATCGTATTAAATGTTTTTGTTTATTACCATTTTGATATGGCAGACTAATGTTAATGTGACAATACCAGTAGTCCTTAGTCAAGAGATAAAACTAATTACATTTTAGGATCTGAAGCAAATTGATTTGATATGTTCTTACTGAAATGCTCATTTGGCACTTTAGTTAGAGTCTTCTTACCTTGTTATACATACATGCTTTTACTTCGGAGTGTTTCTCAAAGAACAGGATATTTTATGACAGTTTCACACTTTGCAATCTCATCATTTAGCTAGAGGAGCTTTTTCATCCATCCAAGCTTTGGAAGTACTCCAACTAAAGGTCACCTAATATTTTCTTTGAAGAAATTAACACTTCTGGAACCCTTGACGTTTCTTTACAGATGACAAAGATCAAAATAAAGGAAAACAGATGCAGGTATAAGAAAATTGCTGCTTTGAGAAAACACCATGACAGGGTAAAGGAAATCTTGATATATTAAGAATATATACATTCCTATTCCCACAGAAACCTACGGCTGTGGTTTTAAAAGCCCACTCAACACATACCACAGTCTTTACATCTCACTTTACGTCCTCTCACACTCACTCAAATTCACCTCTACACAAACACACTCCACATAATGAATGAATATAGACTAGCATTAAGTGATTTATTGGGCTGTTATTGGCCTTTTATTAAATCCTGATTGATGGCTCTGAATACTTGGAAGTACTTTGCATGAAAGTGAGAAAATATGAAGTTGGATGTTTGAAGACACAAGCATCAAAACAAAAGGAAAGTGTTGTTATGAGTCTACAAAAGCATGGATATTTGTATCATAGTTCCCAGTTCTGTTCTGGCTTTAGAGATTGCGCCACTAACTTGTAACACTGATGCTATTTCAGTCATGGTTGGCAGTGTAATGAGTGTGTCCTGCTGCCAGAGATCTTTTATTGTCCAAGCTCCAACACATACGAGTGCAGTGAGACAAAACCCAGAATCAGAATGGGAATCATGTTTTGGACGCTGACTTGAATCTTTAAAGTCATGTTGTAATCTTTGGATTTTTAGTACAAACTGTTTCTGAGAAGTGAGTCGTGAAGCTCCTCGCTCTCTGCCAGAGCCTCTCTGTTGATCATTTGTTGATCTCTTTCTCGGTTTGTATCTCACTCAATCACTCCCTCCACTCACTCACTCGCTCTCACACACTCCATCATCCTCTTTGTTTACGTTCATATTCTCACACACATCGAATTTGTCTTTCTCTCAAGCATGGCAAACGTTTTTTTTATTAGATTCCTTTCTGTGTATGTTTAAGCCTGATCACCAAAATGCATAAAACAGAATAACAAAACAATTTCACTTGTTTACAATACATTTTGACGCGTTATGCTTATAATTTCAAGCCACAGCAGTATTAGACACTTAGAGCAAATGTTCATGCATAAGAAATAAAGTAGTAGAAAGAGGTAGAACGTACAAATAGGAAGGTGGTAAGAATGGATGGATCAAACAATAGGATTTCCAAAGTTGAAGTTAATGTCCGTCAGCCATTCTCCCTTTGGCTTTCGCACATCTTCTTCCTGCATTTGCACCGTGATGGTGTTTTCTAGCCACCCATTGGTTCTTGGTGTGTGTCCATACCACTGTAACTTTGACGGTCTAGCCATTTCTGTATTTTAAGCCAAACCAAACCATCATCTGTTCCTAAATTTAACCAATTTGCAATGTTATCCACGTCATAGGATCTCATTAAAGACTAACTAGAACCTACTAAGAGTCCCACAGAGTAGACACTTTTGGACACATTTGACCAATGTTTTTCCAGGACTGACAGAGCAAGCACCGGACAGATGGCTAGCCATGCATGGCTAGAATGGGACTCATATCCTCATATCCCTCTATTTCACTTCCTGTTTCTAAAGTGCTGATTTTGGGTATAAAGCTTAAAAAAATTATTGATACAAAATTAAAAAGGAGGGGACTGAGCTCATGCGGGACCCGGCAGCTACTGTCTAAACTAAATGCTGCCGTGATGAAACGCCATATCATGGATTATCAAGGATCTGAAACAGTCTGGAGCTCAAAGGCTTTCTCTCTTGCCGGTTATACCACAAGGTGAGTTCCTTTTCCTTCCTACTTCTTCACACACATGCTCTCCAGTACAGGTTAGCTCTGAGTGTTAGCGATGCTAATGTAAACACCGACCATATTACGTCCAAAACAGTCGGGCATTGTTTCTGATAGCAACGTTTCTGATTGGGCCGTGGGTCCACAATTCAGATATTACGTCATATCGGACGCAAATCTGGATCAGCTCCGTTGTTCCCCGTTTTTAGAGATTTGGGTACGGAGGAAAAGAGAGAGGGTTTTATTTTCTGACGCTACGTGAGTTCCCTGACGCACCGGGGACACATTTATGTATAAAATACATCAACAAGTGCATTTTGCATGATAGGTCCCCTTTAAACAAACACACCCACACTTATATTCATTATAAATTCAGTGGTTTGTTGAGTACGTTTTTGGGTATAAATATCATGGATTCAAGCCTTTTTGGTAAATGTATGCTGTGTCCTTAAGTGTGTATATAAAGTGTAGTAGGGGTGTTTTGTGTTTGTTTTGCATGTCATAAGTACCACAGTTTCACACTCGGCTCCCCCACATTGTCTCTGCATATAACACTACATACCCCACTAATAGAAACAGCTATTCATTAGTTTATAAATCCAGGTCTGCCATTTTTAGATAATCCAAATAGTTTTAAATGGACCACAAATCACCAAATCTAGAGTTATTATTGGACAGCAATAACATTTAGCACCAAAATCTCCTCCTGACAGCGGCCTTAACCAGCCGAAGTGATTTAGCGGCACACCGATGATCTTCAGTGAGGATGGGAACGCTGACATTCAGGAATGCTAAGCAGCTCCTGATTGCTGAAATAAACAGTTTTCTTAAAGTGTGCCGTTATAATGAATTACACTGCATTAATACAAAGCAGCGAATCATTAGCAGCTCCTTTAAGTGCTTGCTAATCATATTTTATCTTTGTTTAGCAAGGAAAGATGTGCTGAAGAATCAAGAAGCTCTGGTTAATTACAAACAGTACAGTTACATCTGGGAGGAAAGGTGTTTTTACTACAAACACTGAGGTCGTTAGCCAAAACTCCACCAGTTAATGACCATTTACCACAAAAAAATGTTTTGAAAGGAACCAAAAATGTGTAAAATGTTCTGATAATTAAAGTGTGTCTTTCTGTATTCAATCATTTCATATTTGAGTTGTATTTTTGGTACCTTTTATCTTTCTAAATGATGATTTAGACTAAACTAAAGCTTAAAATTGGGTAATTAAATGCAATATTTTGACCTTTTTGATACACTAAATCGAACATTTGATGTATCAGGTATACATTGCTTATTTCTGTGCATCTTCAATACACCCTGAATAGGCAAAACAGTCTCTTTTGCTAATTGGTGATATTTCTTCATCACATATTTTCACAATAGGTCTTTCGGACTGATATCCTGCACATATTTTATCCCTCAGAATAATTAGCATATTGTTATTGAGCATACGTATATGTATTTGTATATTTTATTAGTTTTATTCAATTTAGTAATTGATGTTATAATAGTTATATATGTGCTCCCTTTCTACAACTTAACTCCTCTTACTGTGTAAATGCATCCTTATAAACCAAAGCACATTCCCTGTATGTATAACCCGTTAATATTGAGTCCGTGGGATAACAACCACATGTAGATCCCCCCCAAAAAGGGACACGTCCATCCTGTTTGAATCCTCCGCTGTGCGTTTTGACCATACTCTGTTATAATAAAGGTTGTGACAGAGCTCAGATGTGGACACTGCCCACTCCTCGCGCCAGCCTCACAGCCGGCGGGAGTTTGCGTGCGCAGTTGTGTCCCTCTCATGCATCGCAAGCGCACAGAGGGCGCACGGTGTCAGTTAGCTCGCGCCTCTCGTAGCGGTCGGTCGCTGCTTCATGGTTGCGTCTCGCAGCAGGAATTTTGGGAGTGGAAATTCCGCTGTTATACTTTCACGACTCGCTTCGTATTCTGACATTTCTGCTTTGAACACAGAGAGAGAAAGAGGTGGAGAGAGAAATACGGAGTGAAATCTGCAGAGCTTATCCTCCGATGTTCCGCTTGCTTTTCACTGAAAACCGGTTAACTACTGATTGCTCCTTCTTTCATTTTCCACTTGGAAGTATCGATCCTGTTTTCCCAAGGTTTGATGAAGAATCGCAAACTGCCACTTCTGGATTTTCCCTGTTTCGATTTTTAATCTTCCCTGCTTTTTGGATTATATTTTATATTTAGATGGCAAGTTGTCCCCTGACAGACACGGGGATTTGGTGCTGAAGCTCGCAGGATGCTGAGGAGCCGACAACAACCACATCTCTTACTTTGAGACAATCTGCGCGTATTTGTGTCGCTTTTGGACGTAAACCCCCCCTCTGGACGTTTCCCCCCTCCCGTTTGCCTTTATTTTTCCTTGACATCATGTCTGTTGTGTACAATCTAAGGATGCGTAGTGGATTGCTATTGTTCATTTTCTCCCAAGTCACCCTGGTTGCTTCGTTGACTCAGACTGGTAGGTGTTGACTGCTTGTATGAATACATGTGGCTTGACAACAGGCTGATTCATTTTTGCATCATTTTTCACCATTGTTGCCTCTCACCTGTTTATGCCTGGGCTTCTCCCTGTGAGAGCACGTCTGCAGGGGATCAACTTAGTCACATAAATACTGTGTTTAGTCTGCTATAATTACCCTAATAGAGGAACCATACTTAAGGATATTATAGAAAATCCACCGATTGTTAGAATATTAGCGATACAAAAAGACCCTTAAAAGTACCTTACAATGAATGCAAACTGACAATGTACCATCACAGACACACCTTTGTTAATATTTCCACATTATAGTGGAAATAAAAACAGATTCTTGATGGTTTGTTCGCGCTTCATCCATTCAGAGATGAATTTTGGAGCTTTTGCGCGCTGAAGCTTGAGCTTGAGCTCAGGCTGCGAGTAATTTCATAAATTATTCATTTAGAAAATTACATTTTATCATGCTGCCTGTTTGCAGGGGAAGAATAATGCAGACTTCACCTATACAGGCACAGCGTATGGCAAGGATGGCACCTTTTTTCTAAATGAATATAATGGGGTGTTTTAACACCTTGTTGAGGCTTGATATAAATCAGATTGTGTGGAGGTGCAGGATGTCAACATATGTTTGTGGATTTATGGAGATCCCAAGCTTCCTAAACCCTAAATCTGAGTGCAAATCAGTGCGTTAAATAGTCAATTTCCTTCTCCTAACTTAACTTTCTCCCCTCTCTCTCGCAGATAAATGCGGGGGGACTATAGAGATCCACACCCCGGACTACCTGACCTCCCCCGGATATCCAGGCGCGTACCCGCCGTCCCAGCAGTGCGTGTGGGTGATCTCAGCCCCGGAGACCGGGCAGAAGATCCTCATCAACTTCAATCCGCATTTTGATCTGGAGGACAGAGACTGCAAGTAAGATTTCACTCCTCACTCTCTCTCTCTCTTCTCTATTAATCTCCCACCCTTCCCTTTACTCCTCAATCCTGCCTGGATACAGCGTGAAACTCTGCCACCTATTGGTCAAGGATTAAAACATCTGCTCCCAGGGAACAGGGTTTTTGAGATATGGCTCTCAAGAAATGGGGTTTGATGGGTTTTGTAATCCATACTTAATCAGGAGGCATGGCTTTGTGTCTCTGCTTGGGGTTGTTGGCAGTGCTTTTAGAGGAGAGTAAATCCCAGCCAAACTCTGCGTGCATACGCTTTCTTTGTATTGATGGAGTTCAGTTTGCTCATTGCAGGAATAGAGAAATGGTGTTTACTTTTCATCTAGAGACAGGCGGAGTCTACCTGTTTGTATTTGGAGGAGGAATCGAGTTCGTGCGGCTCTTTTGTTAGAAGGAATACAACGTTGAGGATCTAATTTAGTTTTGCAAATTGTTGGAAGTGCTGCCATCAGGTTTTTGTGAGTCTGAGGATTTTGGAAACATAAGCTGAGGTTTTTTGTCTGGAGCAATCATCTTTTCACACATTGTGCTTGTTCATCGACTTTTATATGTGAAGCAGAAGGTTTTTAAATCAATTTCCACAAAAAGAATCGCTAACAATTACCAAATTCACTTTTTCTGCTCGTCCAACATAAAGACTGCTTTTCATTGTCTTCTATAGTTTCCTTCCTATAACATAAGATGTACTTTATTAAGCCTACTTTGGGAAATGGTTTGGTTACAGAAGCATGTATACAAGGCATTGCAAATTAAATAAAAACAATATATTAATAGATATGAGTATCTATAGAGTGCACACAAATACAGAATAAAGTAGAATACACTACGATAGACTAACCTACAATTATAAGAATCTATCAACATAGGACATATAACGTTATAACGTGTGCAAAGTGTGGCATTTGTTCATTAAAATGGCATTAGTTTTGAGTCTTTTGGTCAAACAAAATAGATTTGATATGAGTTTAGACTCTGGAAACTTTTATTTGTGTCTTTTTCCTTCCAGACAATACATTAATTGGATGTGCAAATTGTTATCAGATTATAATAAAAGTGAATCATATGTTGTTCCTCTCTGCACTGGCAAGACAGGGAGCAGTTTGGTTTTAAAACTTTCTTAAGTGACATTTATTTTCCACACAGACAACACAAATCATTCCTGCACATTCTGTTTCCTGGGCATAACTCCACTAAACCTGTAAACAAGCACACACACACACACACACACACACACACACACACACACACACACACACACACACACACACACACACACACACACACACACACACACACACACACACACACACAGCCTTGTACCGCCTCTCTTTGACCCGGGAGACACACTCTCGATTGTGTGCATCCACACAGCAGCCCATGTGTTGCTCTCTTCCATAAATAAGCCTGTTTTTATGTCGGCTCCTCTGTCTTTTTTAAAAGCTCCATAAACGGCTCCTGTGTAAATCACGGCCGGCTGCACAGCGCTGTCCCACAGATGGCTCCTCCAATACTATTGGATCACGTTTCACCACAGAGGGACTCGTAAAGCACGAGGACAGTTAGTGAATATTGTGTGTCCTTTTTTGTGGATCACACACCTTTCTCCGTGTTGTATGCTTTTCTCCAGGAACACCTCATTCTGCAAAGACCTTATTTTGTGTAACCCAGGGAGCAATATAAGTATGTAATAATGCAGTTTAAGTACTTAATGAAATCTAATAAATCTGTGTAATAAAACTTTAGTCAGTGGTTAGGCCCTTAGTACTCGACCAGCCGAGTATTATTGTCTGCTTAAATTACTTTTCCATAGGTTAATGCGCTGTGTTAAGGCAGTTGTAAAATAATGTGGTTTAATCACGGTTTAATGTGTGCTTAACATTTTAGTGATATCTTCTTACATCCTGTAGGAACAGATCGGCGTCTCGCATCAGACTGAGTACCAGAGGAAGGTTTTGAGCAGGGTTAAGAGAGGGTTATCTGTTACAATTACTAATTACCTGTAAAACTTTATCAGGATGTACCTGAGGACAAATGTTTTCTCCTAAACGTCTTGCGTTCTTTTTTTCAGGGTTACATTGTTTTGTTGTCTTACATAATACACTTAAAGGGGCCCTATTATGCAAATGTTCTGATTCATATCAGTATGTAGTGTCTCTACTTTAAAGAGTCCTCTCCTGCTGATGTTCAGGTGTATATCAGTATGTAGTGTCTCTACTTTAAAGAGTGCTCTCCTGCTGATGTTCAGGTGTATATCAGTATGTAGTGACTCTACTTTAAAGAGTCCTCTCCTGCTGATGTTCAGGTGTATATCAGTATGTAGTGACTCTACTTTAAAGAGTCCTCTCCTGCTGATGTTCAGGTGTATATCAGTATGTAGTGTCTCTACTTTAAAGAGTCCTCTCCTGCTGATGTTCAGGTGTATATCAGTATGTAGTGTCTCTACTTTAAAGAGTCCTCTCCTGCTGATGTTCAGGTGTATATCAGTATGTAGTGTCTCTACTTTAAAGAGTCCTCTCCTGCTGATGTTCCGGTGTATATCAGTATGTAGTGACTCTACTTTAAAGAGTCCTCTCCTGCTGATGTTCAGGTGTATATCAGTATGTAGTGTCTCTACTTTAAAGAGTCCTCTCCTGCTGATGTTCAGGTGTATATCAGTATGTAGTGTCTCTACTTTAAAGAGTCCTCTCCTGCTGATGTTCAGGTGTATATCAGTATGTAGTGTCTCTACTTTAAAGAGTCCTCTGCTGCTGATGTTCAGGTGTATATCAGTATGTAGTGTCTCTACTTTAAAGAGTTCTCTCCTGCTGATGTTCAGGTGTATATCAGTATGTAGTGTCTCTACTTTAAAGAGTCCTCTCCTGCTGATGTTCAGGTGTATATCAGTATGTAGAGTCTCTACTTTAAAGAGTCCTCTCCTGCTGATGTTCAGGTGTATATCAGTATGTAGTGTCTCTACTTTAAAGAGTCCTCTCCTGCTGATGTTCAGGTGTATATCAGTATGTAGTGTCTCTACTTTAAAGAGTCCTCTCCTGCTGATGTTCAGGTGTATATCAGTATGTAGTGTCTCTACATGTCTCCATGCTTTAATGTTCAAAAAGCTCTGTATTGTTCTCATACTGCCTGTGTTGCAGCACCTCTTTTCACCCTCTGTCTGAAACCAGAGCCCAGTCTGCTCTGATTGGTTAGCTGGCCTGCTCTGTTGTGATTGGTCAACCAGCTTAGAGAAGTCCCGCCCCTTAACCTATCACATACAATGTGTTGGAGCGCTAGCCAATTGAAGCGTAATTGTTATATAGTGATGTCACTATGTTCCGGATGTAAACAAAGGAGTCAAATGGAGGATTTTAGCCTTTGCAGACTATTTACATGCGCAAAAACCTATTTACAGTAACACACTACAAGAAAGGAAAACCCCCCAAAAATCTTGATAAGGCCTCTTCAAGGTTGACGCCCTCTTACTGCCACAGGATTCAAACCTGTGACAGTCCGACAGCCACCTCAACATGTCATGTTTCTGTCTTCTTAGGGGTCTCCGTTTTGCTCGATTGCTTTCATTATTTGTTGTGTGAGTTTATGTTGGACGATGATGGGGTGTAGCTCATAGCTCTCTGACTTGGCAGGAGCACTGTTGTTTTTGGGAGCGAGTCAAATGTTCGAAATATGCCCATTGAGGCTGGGTGGGTGGAGGGGGGGGTGGGTCTTAAGCCTTTTGCTGTCCTGAGATGATATTTAGGAGTTTGATTTCACTGTTTGATGCCAACGTCAGCTCTGAGATATGATCAGTCAGTGAGGATGTGACTGGAAACAGTGACTTAGAATAAAGTGGAGAATCAAGTGTTATCATTAATTGAGGTTGTTGTTGACATGAGACTGCATCTGCTCTGCTGAAGTGTCCATGAGCAAATCCTTAATCTCCATCCGTCCAAGATCTGACCTCTGACCTCTGATGACGCTACAGAGAGGAGTGACAGAACTAGGAATTTGTTCTGTAGGAATGTGTAGCATAGTCAATCTAAAACAACTTGTTTAATTGTCAATCAACAGTTTTAACAGTCAATAAACAGTTTGTTAGCCAAAATATCAAGACTCCACATACTGTAGGTCCAGCCGGTCAAATGTGAGGATTTTCTCAGTTTTACAGTTTTACATTATTGCAAATCTGGTGGTTGTGTGGACTGTATGTTGGACAATACATTTAAATAACCGATAAAGTAATTGGTATTTTAATCGACAATGAACGTTTTTATACAACAGTCGAAAATCCCAAACAAATGCCATTAAAAATCATAAAAATGACGTTAATGACTACCAAATAATCTCAATATGTGTGAAACGTTAAATGTACTGAATCCACTGATTGTTTCTTGACTTAATTAAACACAATTCTAAAGAACAACATTGTTTATTTAGCTTTTATCCAGTAACAGCTTATCTTGTAGGCTTTAGTGTCTTTTGGGAAATCAAGCCAGTGGCCTTTAGGTTACCGGACAATTTAAATAACACTCTACAATATCCCACATTATTTAATTCAAACGTACTCTCATGATTGAATTGTTTTGTTGGAACGACACTCCCCCTCCTCTTCCTCCTCCTCCTCTTCCTCCCCCATCAGATTGCCTTATCTCTGCTTGCCCATTTCTCCTAGTCCCATAATTAAATTACTGGACCAAAATGGAACAAATGTGTTCCAGTGCTGTGAAACATGTCTGCAGTTCCCCTGCCAAACAAAAGCAGCCATAGCACAAGCAAACGGAGGCTACATCTCCGACATCTGTCTATCTTCCCCTTCACCCTCATGACCCAGGCTGTAATTATGATCCCTAATTGCAGCCTTTCATAAAAATACACATTTGTCAGCCAGGAAATGTTTTCTACTGGTGTGATTCATGAAGGAGGGAACTTTCTGGGAGTTTTTTCTTAAATGAGGTGATCCGCCAGACAATGACAACTTATCACTAAAATATTTAAAGGGGCCCTATTATGCTTTTTTGTTTTTTCCCTTTCCTAGTGTGTTATATAGATTTGTGTGCATGTAAATGGTCTGCAAAGGCTAATATCCACAAGTTGCCTCCAGAAGGAGTTTTTCTCTCTTTTGAACATTAAAGCATGTAAACATGTCACCGTCGAGGCACAAAAATACAAATATTGACTCGAAAATTAGCATAATACGACTTCTTTATAAGCTGGATCCAAGTTTTTAGGGTTAATCGTCATATGCACAATAGCTATGCCGAAAATCTTATGAATGAAAATCTAACGTACCAAGCTCCTCCAACAGTGGAACATACAATATACTTCAGACATAAAAAAATCTAAAATAAATAATTCAAATGACAAAAACGATATATCTGTAAAGAAGACAGTGTTGCTTCATGTTGTTAGAGAAGAAACTCAAATGGTCGTCACAAGCTTCTGTAAAGCACACAGTCTGGGTGATAATTTCCAACGGCAACCTTTTACTTCCACAAACTCTCAAGTGACACAATCTGCGCTCAGTGAACAGACGTTGGTTTAGACGAGAAGCAGTAACACTTTTTCTTCAGACGCGCTAGGATCTTTCCCTCCCGTAGCCAATCTGGAGCGGCACCAGAACGAGTCTTGTCTCACGTCCACGTCTGAAATTAGCGTGGCCGACAAAGTGAGTCCCTGCGGAGCGCGGTAAAATAGAGCAGAGGCACGGGTAAGGAACATGCGTCGGTGGCGGGATAATCTGGGACATCTTTTATAGAGGTTGGCTGAACTGTTTCCTCCCACATGAGTCTGTACTGGCAGAGCCCTCACACGTACACGACATTCACAAACCACACACGCACACACACACACACACACACACACACACACACACACACACACACACACACACACACACACACACACACACACACACACACACACACACAGCAACCTAACTTTCTGTCACTTGTAGTATGCTTCATGCGGTGTACACACAGCTACAGTGTATGTACGGTGTACACATTCTTGTGCAGTTTTAAGCCCACAGGGACACAGAGAGACTAACACTGACTCACAGAAGGGGATTTTCTTTTGGAAAATCCACCGGACGAACTTGCTTTGCCATGAATCTTGACTTAACTGGTTCATACTGGCCATGAGGAGTCCCTGAATGTTTTGATGTGTATGACAAATTATGTGAATCATATGTTATAGCCTTCACAGACACCAGATCCCAACCCAACTGAACATCTTTGGTGTATAAGTGGGTACAGAAAAGACGTAAACACACCAAATCTCCAAATATCTGCAAATACCACACACACGCAGCAACCTAACTTTCTGTCACTTGCAGTTTGCTTCATTTGGTGTGCACAGAGCTTCAGTGTGCATGCGAAACACACATTATTGTGCAGTTTTAAGCCAACAGGGACACGAATAGACTTTCACTGATACACAGAAGAGGACTTTATTTGGAAACTGAACATATCTTTGCTTTATTGGTTCAAACTGTCTATGTCTGGTCACTGAATGTTTAGATAGGTCACATGATATGGCATTCACAGACACCAGATCAGATATCAACCCAACTTAACAGTTATGGTATGAAATCAGATATAGAAAAGACATAAATAAAACCAAGTGAATAACTGCAATGTCTTGACCATAATAAGATGAGAAACCATAAAGCCCTCTCCTCCCAAAAAGAGCTTTTTCTATTAGTTCATTCAGACCCCTAAGGAAATAAATGGAGAGGCTATACATCCCTCCAGTGTGCTGCAGGGCCAGTTGTTCTGATGGTATATCCTGATTAGTCAATCACAGTTTCCCTGAAGAAGACACATAGTCACCGGACCGACATCCCACAGCCTGGAGCCGTCACATGACTGGAAACACACACACACTGGGAAGACATTTGCGTGGCATGTGTGGAAATGTGTGGGAGCTGTGGGGTCGAAGTTGTTCATAAAGTCAGGCATGGATTTGGTTTATTTCAATCACTTCCAAAGTGAATCTTCATTGATTCAAGATTTAAG